GCGGGGGGGGGAGAAAGAACAAGAAAAAGAAATGCTCAGTCCCGATGGGTGAGGGGATGTTTGGCCAGGCCCCTGAGCACCCGGCTCTGTGCCATCTGCCTCCCTGTCTCCCTTGGCTAGAGGGAAATGTCCTGTGTGGACCTTGAAGGGCAGAAGCAGCCAGAAAGGGGACCGGGGCAGGGCTGGAGCCCGCCCCTCTTCCTCGGGGGGGAGAAAGAACAAGAAAAAGAAATGCTCAGTCCCGATGGGTGAGGGGATGTTTGGCCAGGCCCCTGAGCACCCGGCTCTGTGCCATCTGCCTCCCTGTCTCCCTTGGCTAGAGGGAAATGTCCTGTGTGGACCTTGAAGGGCAGAAGCAGCCAGAAAGGGGACCGGGGCAGGGCTGGAGCCCGCCCCTCTTCCTCGTCACTTGGATGCTCTCACCAGCCCATCCTGGGCTTGCTCTGTTACAAAATGGAGGCAGACACGGAGCTAAGCCTCATGAGGTGCTCCATGGATGCTGAGAACCAGCTCTATCCATCCTGAAACCACTCTAGTTAGGTCAGGAATAATTTAGCTTGAAGTGTGCCTCTCCAGGGAGCCTGCTGTTTCTCCTGACTCTGCACGACCCTCCGATGCAAACATTTGGGCTCTCCTTTTACAAGAAGAGCTGAATTTACTGCCCAAAACAGAGCTACTCCCCTGAATCCCACAGCCCTAAGGACCAGGTCGCTTAGAGACAGCAGGGGCTGGCTGGCAGCTTGTGTCTCTGGTGTATACATCATCTCGGAGAGGTCTGTGCGGGCTGCCCTGCTCTCTGCGATGATGCCTGAGATTATGCAGGGCTGGGTGCGCTGCCAGAGCCGGCTCAGGGGTGGAGTCTGTCCTGCCTGCTCTGTCCCCAGCCCAGCAGTAGCTCTTATGTCCCCGGGCCAGCAGTGCGGGGGGGCAGCCCCCTGCCCCCACCCCCGGGGAGCCGGGCTGTGTGCTCGCTGCTCATGGCATCGCCCCGTGCTCAGCTCCAGCCCCTGCGGCAGGGCTGACCCTCCCAGCCAGGGGCAAGTGACCTCTTTATCACCGGGGTGGGGCGAGGGGGGGGTAGCCCCACCAGCATGACCACAGTTCAAAAACTTTCCGCTCATTTCCCTGGCAGACCACCCCGACCCTCCCCTAATTCCTTCAATTCATCTCTCTGGAGGCCTAATCTGTGCCCTGCACGGCCTCGGGGGAGCAGCCCGGATCCGTCTGTTTTCCCAGGCCTGCCCGCAGCAGGCAGAGCTTCACGCTCCACCCCTCGTCTCCCTCTTGAGCTGAGATCATCACATTAGCAGCCTGTATCCCCTCCTGACCTGGCAGGCCTGGCTGGGCTGGCCTCCCTCGTGCCCCGGCTCTGGAAGGTGAAACGCTGCAGTGTCCCCTGCGCCGTGGCTGGGGCACACAAAGGGACACTGCTGGGTGGTCAGCTTGGGAGGTGTCAGTGTGTGTCCCCCCCTGCCTCTGCCTCTCCCTTTCCCCACCGTTTCTGATTAGAGGCTCTGGAGAGTTTGCCCTTGTCCCTGACCTCGGGAGGGAGGCAATCAGAGAGGGAGTTGGGATGGGAGATAACTCATCAGGGAAGCTGTCTGCTCTGCAGAGCATCAAATCAGCTGAGAAATAACAACGGTATCACTAAAATTAGCTGAACATTTGCAGCAGAGACCACGGGCTTGTGGGAGCAAGAGAGGCAGGGAACAGGGCTGAGCCCCGGGGGCAGCACGGGGGGGCCGTTCCCTGCCCACACCCCAGGGCCACGTTTGCCACCAGCAGTTTTCAGAGCCCTAATTCCCGTGTTTCTGGGGGACTCCCTGGTGCACTGATAAACCCTGCACAGAGGCAAAGGCTGAGCTGGGCACCCGATCAGTCACAGCAGAGCTGTCACAAAGTAGGAGGAGAATCCCGCGAGGACCAGGAGCTGCATCCTCCATTTGAAGGGCTGGGACAAGGTCCCTGCCTGAACTTTCCACCCATCTGGCATTAGTGTGCGTGTAAATCCTCGGGCTCTGCTGCCGCTCAGTGGAGATAAATGTCTCTCCCTCCCACTGCAACGTGGGTCACGGGGCTGCTTCAGCCACGAGCAAGGAAACCCTCTGCCCCATTGCACTTCTTCTAGGACATTATTTTATTCCAAGCTTAAGAATCGCCCTTTCTTGGAGGAAGGGAAGAAAAATGCTTGGAATTTAGGTATTTTAAATTTTTGTTAACAAAATGTGATGGGAGGGGGATGCCCACTGCCCAGGGGAGGGGGATCAGGATATCCTGGGCTGCCCTCCTGGCTTGGCCCATCACCAGCCCTGGCTGGTGGGGTGTCTGGTTGCAGCCCTGCTTCCCATTCTGAGCCCCACTTCTGCCGGGCTTGCAGCCCCGAGGACTGGCACAAACAATTGCATTTCTGTCTGCTCTATGACCCCACTTGTAAGTGCTGTGACCCCTGCTGGGGTCGTGGCCCCTGGTTTGGGAACTGCCAGGCCAGGACGAGTCACTTAGACCAAACAGGATGGGTGATTAACTGTAGGAACCAACCCCAAAGTAAGAGGTGGGCTCTCCACCTCTTAATGTCTTCCAATTAAGACCAGATGTCTTCCTGGAAGATGTTTTAGGCTAAACCACAGGCTACCGGGCTGCAGGAGAACTTGGGTGAAGTTCCCTGACTTGTGCTGCACAGAAGGTCAGACTTCATGATTTGATGGTCTCTTATAGCCTTAAAGAAATCTGCATTAAAATTGTCTTGTTCCTTCTCCAAATAACCTAGTCTTGAGCTCTGGAAATGCTGTAAAATTGCTGCTGGGTAACAAGACTCTGAGATAGCCAGACACCTTCTGGGGATCTTTAGGTCTTGATATGGTGTTTAACTTCAGGCATCCAAGTTTTAAATATTTATCCTTATTTTTCCTCATCTCACAAAGGTTCAGAAGACTTGATTCATTGCTGTTTGTAAAAATGTTTTCAATTCCCTAGATAAAATATGTCACAGAAGTGCAAAATATTATTAACAGTAATTGATTGTCATTGTGGGAAGTGACCTGCCCTTACAAAAGATTAATGGATTCTTCAGGTTACTGGTGTGATGGTAATTAACAATGCAAACAGCTGACAGACCCTCCTTTCCCATCTGATTGTAGCTTCCCAGACTCCGAGAGGGAATGAAAAGGAGTTTTTGGGAAGGAGTGGCTATGCAGGGAGTCCGAAGGTCTGTTCATTTGCATCCCAATGCCTTCCTGACAAACCAATTATCCTCCCAAAACGTTCCTACATTAACAGCAGCTCTAGAGGGAGGGGTTCAGGGATCCCATCACCAGGCTGAAGGGAAGGGTGTGTTGCTGTGAGTCATTGATGTTCCTGGCTGGGCGAGGTGGGAGGGTGCCCAGGTGTTACCCACCCTCCTCCCAGCTCTTCAGGCATTTCCCCCCTCCCGGGACATAAACCCCTCTCCTTGTTTCCCCAGATTGCAGAGACCTATGCTTTTCTCCCGAGGGAAGCTGTGACCAGGTTCCTGATGAGCTGCACTGAGTGCCAGAAGAGGATGCACTTCAATTCCAACGGCCTGGAGCCCAAAGGTAAAGGCAAATTAATTCTGCCAGCAGAGCTGACACAGCATTTTGTACCAGCGTGGTATCCCTAGAGCTGTCAGGATACTGCCCTGCCCATGAGACACTTTCTAACCTAGTGCTTTATCCTCACGTCTGTTATTTTTCATGCATTTTTGTAGCAAAGCTGAAAGAATTGCTCAGATCTCATTTGTCTGTTGCTGGTTTCAGTTTAGGGAGCAGAGGTGGGATGGCTTTGTGCCTGAGCTTCCCCAGTGCAACCAAACCAGGCTTGGGGAGAAAATACTGCAGGTAACTCTGCAATTGGCCCCATATCAAATCTGGGTGGAAATGGTAATTCCTGAGAAAAGGAAACATGCCCTACATGTTATCCTTGAGATGGTTGATTCTGTAGTGAAAGGCCATGAGTGTGTCTGAATAGCTGAAGTTTCTGATAAAGAGCTAATTTGTAGTAATTAATAGATATGCACCCCATGATCCTGTTTTTGATAACAGGAAGTGTTTTGGTAATCAAAGTTTCATTATGCCCACGTGTGCAGCTAATTAGTGTGGCCATTGGGGTGGCTGCTGGTTGTGGTTCATTTGTAGATGGAACCAACTGCAGCTCCTTGGCTTAAAAGGTACCAGTGATGTCTAAGATGGCACCAGGTTTTCTTCCAGAGTAAATGGTTAAGTTGGTGTTTGTGTGGGGTTTTTGGCAGCTTTTATCAGGCAAAGAAACAGTGACATGAAAGAAGCACCCAACAATAGAAAATTTATAGTATTAAATACTGATTTCTGCCTGTTTGCTGCTAGGAGCAGAGCTAGGGACAGCCCAGAGGTTCTGTTTGAGTGGACTGTGTGTGCCAGCTATCCAGAGGCAGTGACTGGGATGCTTGTACTTGTTATATTTTTTTTAAGAAACTCTCCCAAATAATGCTATGTGACATTTGTTAGCCTAAGCTCCATCACTGCAGCACTTCCTGCTCTGCTGGCTGGGGGCCTGATGGGGAATGTTGGTTTGACCCAAACCAGGACATTGCTAGAAATGTGGCACTAGCTGAGCTGTCCTTCAGGGCTCTCTCCTGCCCACCCACCATCGCTGTGTCTCCCCAGTGACCCAGTCTGGCTCAGAGGCAGCTCAGAACACCCAAGGGGTGCTGAGCATCCTCCCCAGAACAGGCCTGGCTGTGGAAACTGATCGGGGCTGAGAGCTGCCTGTCCTGAGCAAATGCACAAATTACCATCAGTCACTGATTGTTCTCATAACGCTTCTCCCTCAGCAGTTCTCTGAAATCAAACACGAAGGATCCCACAGGTAAAAATTCCTGCTTCTTACCCACCAGAACTGGAAGAACAGAAATGCCTTCCTGCTCTGAATAGTACCTAAATAGTCACTAAGTACCTGTGAAAATGCAGAGAGTAGATTAGATAAGGTAACTTTTACTGGGGAAGAGTGTCTGATTTCACAGATCCGGATTCAGGAGCAAATCACCTAGAAACCATGGGGACCATAGAAGAAATACCTGGGTGTAGGTAGATGCAGACATGGGTACAAGCATATGGAGATAAAGTTTAACTCAGTAAGATGAAAAAAATTGAGTAATTCCCATCTCTTCTTACTTCTCTTGTCCATTAAACAAACACTTAATTTGTGATTGCAACAATCCCTAATTAGATGTATCTGCATCAAACCCCCCAGAATTCATAAAGGCAAATTGTCTTGCTCATGGGAAACTTTGAACATCACTGGACTTTGCTGGGATCTCTTCAGTGTTGGGACTAATTCCTAATTCCACACTTGTATAACTCCACTGGATCAAAACCATTTTACTTTAAACCTTCCTGCCTGTTCCATCTGCGTGTCCAACACGTGGGACGTGTGATAACTTTTGAAAAATGAGCAAGAGGATTCCAGTAGCCCCCATCCTGTCATGTAGGAGATGAGGATTGTTCCCATGGAGTCCCCCAGGCCTTTTGAAACAAAGGTGTTCTTTCTTTTCCAGTTAGCTTGAAAAAGAAAAAAAAGGTTTTGGTTTCTTAGGCCCAAGCTCTTATCTGTTGCCATTGCACAAATTCACAGTAAATTTGTGGCTGCTAATGGGATTATTCCAGATTTACATCTGGATGGTTTCAGGCAGAATCTGGGCACCAAGGATCATCTTCCTCCCCATCTGAGGGTGCTGAGCTGCTGCTGTTCAGCCTCACTAGCTCTGAATCCAGAGTGATGCAGCCAGAGGAATCAACAGGAACAATTTCAAGTAAAGATTTTTTTTAAATTAAATTTGTGTTTTAATCAGGATGTTAAAAATAATCTTCATCACCAGATAGAGAGATACTGAATAATTTGCCTTAATGTTAACTCCTACCTGAGGGAATCCCATCAGAATTGGTGAGACTTTGCAATGCTGAAGGAGGCTGCAGGTACCTTCTTGTTCATCCACCTCTGCAGAAACCCCTTGGCATGGAAGTGCTTCTGAGGCACCGGGAGGGCTCGGTTCCCCCCTGCTGCATCCTGGTGGGGTAGACTGAAAAATTCTCTGTTATGTGAAGTCTTCTCTGCAGATGACAGCAATTTTAATTTTATTTTTTTTTCCCCCAAAACAACATCTGTTCTGTAATGATGTTCTTGGTGGGGTCCTGTTCTCACAGGAGCCTTTGCTCAGCGGGCTCAGCTCGCGCCGGGGGCCTCACGTGCCTCTAAGTCCATGGTTAGTGATGACGAGGACACATCGTGGCTTTGTGACTCCCCGTCCTGGTTCTAAATGAAGTTTCTTCTCTCTTCTCCAGAGAGTGAACCTCCTTCCTCTTTGGTCTCTGGGATCATTGACTACAACATGCCCCTCACCTCTACCTACCTGAAGCAAATGAAGCTGCGGGTGATGAATTCCCAGGACCAGGTGAGTCGTGCGGCCGGTGCAGGGGGGGCTGGGGCTTGGCATCTTGGATTTTGGAGGATGCTTTTGGAAATGGCTGGTGTGTCCAGGCAGGCTGGGCTCTGCCCACACACAGCAGGGAGGGCAGTGCTGCTGTTCCACTGGCTCTGAGCAAGCAAACAGGTGGCTCCCGAGTCCAGCCCGTGGCGAGGAGCGGGTGCAGTTCCTGTTAGAGCAGCCTGCCTCTGCAGAAACCCCTTGGCATGGAAGTGCTTCTGAGGCACCGGGAGGGCTCGGTTCCCCCCTGCTGCATCCTGGTGGGGTAGACTGAAAAATTCTCTGTTATGTGAAGTCTTCTATGCAGATGACAGCAATTTTAATTTTATTTTTTTTTCCCCAAAAACAACATCTGTTCTGTAATGATGTTCTTGGTGGGGTCCTGTTCTCACAGGAGCCTTTGCTCAGCGGGCTCAGCTCGCGCCGGGGGCCTCACGTGCCTCTAAGTCCATGGTTAGTGATGACGAGGACACATCGTGGCTTTGTGACTCCCCGTCCTGGTTCTAAATGAAGTTTCTTCTCTCTTCTCCAGAGAGTGAACCTCCTTCCTCTTTGGTCTCTGGGATCATTGACTACAACATGCCCCTCACCTCTACCTACCTGAAGCAAATGAAGCTGCGGGTGATGAATTCCCAGGACCAGGTGAGTCGTGCGGCCGGTGCAGGGGGGGCTGGGGCTTGGCATCTTGGATTTTGGAGGATGCTTTTGGAAATGGCTGGTGTGTCCAGGCAGGCTGGGCTCTGCCCACACACAGCAGGGAGGGCAGTGCTGCTGTTCCACTGGCTCTGAGCAAGCAAACAGGTGGCTCCCGAGTCCAGCCCGTGGCGAGGAGCGGGTGCAGTTCCTGTTAGAGCAGCCTGCTTGTTCTTTACATGTACAGTTCTTCTAAGAACCTGCCTTTAAAGTGAATGTGGTGAATAGGAATTTGTGCCTTTACTTCCTCCTAATTGCCTGGGAGCTTTAGCAGGTGGGGTCTGAAACTCATCCCATGCTCTTGCTGCTCTGGTGCTTGTTTAAACTGCTGGGCAGCTTGAGGCCTTTCAGCCACAGCCACTCCTTGCTCGTGTCCATGTGGGAGAAGGCTCTGCTGTTTGATGAGAGTGTTAAGCCACTGGATTTTGTTTTGGGAATGGATGGGGCAGACTGCCACAGCATTATACCCAGGCTGTGCAATCTTCTGAGGTTCTGCAGCTGCAGAATTAGCCATGGGAACCTCTGTGCACCATGGAAACAGTCTATAAAAAGAGACCTGTGTTTTACTTGCTCCCCACAGTCTGCACTGGAAGCTGGTGCTGGATTTTCTGTCCAGGACACTGAAACCTCAGTCTGATCTTAGTGCCAGGTGGAAAGAGGAAAGAGTTTGAAATGTGCAGAAGTTGAAAACATGGTTGAGAGCTTCAGCTGTGAAGTTACACCCAGTTGGTCCTTTTATCTGCCAGCACCGTAAAGGAATGTGGGCTGGAGCATCCATGGCCAGGGTGTAGAATGCCAGATGTGGGTTTGCTGCCAGGAGCTGGAGAAATCCTGAGTCCCTGCAGTGGTGCTGGGCAGAACTGGGCTGTACTGGGCTGAGCAGAACTGTCCTGGACTGAGTCTGTCTGGGTTGCAGACATGGAATGGCTGGATGTGCCCCTTTGCAGCATCTGATGGCTGCTCTGGGACCACTTTTGGATAAATGGGATGGACAGGGGACATCCTATAACCACCTTTGGCTTGTGCCCAACACCTGCTGGCTCTCAAGGCATCTCTGAGCAGAGGCCCTGGGGCTGCAGCCCCAGCCTGGTCCATACCTGTGGTGCCAAAGTGCTCCTCACCAGGGCTGGGGGTCGAGTGGGCCACAAGCTAATGCTGCTTTTCAACATTTGAGGGGTTCATTCAAATTAAGTTTGATGTGAACAAATGGACGGTTGGAGAGCTTTGTCTAGTTGCTATTTATGCATTTTCTATCAGTTCCTCTTGGCTCCAAGGCTCTGTTCAAGAGAAGTGTGTTATGAAGCTTCACTGAAGTCCTGTTCCCAGCTTCTACAGGTGCAAAACAGGACCTGCAGTTTGATCTTATTTCTGTAACAAAACATCCCCCAGAAGCTGATGGGCTTTAGTACTGAATCTGGAGTTTTGAAGCTGCACCTTCAGGGATGCTTATTTTGGACTTAATAATTTAGAGATCTGAGAAGTTTATACTCTGAAATTTGTTTTTGTGGTTGGTGCTGGGGCTGTCCCTGGACAGACAGACGGACACAACACGTGCTGCTGGCACGGGCACTCCTGGAGCTCGCTGAGAGCACATGTCATACAGGAGCAAAAAAGGGACCAGCTGAGGCAACCAGCAGTTTGTTGGTTTAGATCATAAATCAAACGGCTTGATGTTATTCCCTGCCTCCAGAGTCTGTCTTCTCCTCAGCTCTCATCAGCTGCAGCAGCTCTTTGAGCTTTGCAAACTGCTGCAGCCAAGGGAAAAAAACGCTTTGGAAGAAGGAAAGTTTGCTGCTCAGTGTGTTACTGAAACTGATTTCTGAGAGCAGAACAACAAATGATCAGTCTTATTGCTCAGGCTTCAGGACCATTAAGGCTTTGCCTTTGATCTGGAGGTAACAACAGTCTGGAGGGGTTGCAGGTGGTTGGAGCTGGAGAACATCCAGTGGGACCTGGGTCCTGCCCATTGCAGGGTTTGGGACACTCCCCAGCTCCCTTGGGGGAATTAAATGCCATGTTCAGAAGGCAGCTGTGGCTGGACCTGAGCTGCTAATGCTGAAGTGGGAAGGGAGAGAGGAAAAACAGAATGAACCCAGGAGTTGCCAGCTCAGAACGTGCTCCATCAGGTGTCACTTCCTATTGCTTGTAACAATACAAACTCTGGGCTTTGGTTGCCTCCACCTGGCATTCCCTTCCTATTTTTCCCTCTTCATACATTGCACTGGGAACATGACAGGACCATCCTTTTTTTCCTGGATGATCCAGGCGGTTTTTGGGAAGCGTGGGCTGTGGGACATGAGCTGCTGCAAGGGAGCTTTTAGGTCCAGGAGTTGCTGCTGTTGGTGTTCCAGATGCTGACAAACTGCCAAAGTCCCCTGAAGGTGACAGAAATAATCCTGACTTTGCTAGAAATGTGAAACAGGGAGAGAATGCAACCTGCTTTTTGAGCTTGATGCACCACACAAATACAGGCTGTGTGGTTTTCAGGTAGTAAGGTCTGCAAAGTGGTGTTGGCTCCTTTCTAGCCGGGCATGGCTGTGCCTTGCAGCAGAGGGAAACTGAGGCAGGCACACTGGGAGTGTCCTGCTGCAGCTGCCCTGCTCTCACCAGTGCTGGGTGGTGAGAATGGATGTAAATTAAGCAGCAGACTTGTGTTCTACCTGGCTCTTGCCAAAAGCAATTATTTGTGTGCAGCAGCACCGGGAGGAACTTGCTTCACTTGGGGTAACAATGACTGAATTTATGCCAAAGTGGCCTTTTAAATTCATTATTCAGGGAGAAAAAAGAAGTGTGCATGTAACTGTAATTTATTGGTGCTGTTAAGCACATCAGTATTAGGGCAGCAGTGTCTCCAGAAGGAAGCACAGCCAGAAGAACCTTGGAGAAAATATTTTATCTCTGCTTAGGGGCAAAGACCAGAGGAGGAGCACTTTACATGGCTGCTCACAAAATGAAGAATTTCTGCAGGATGTATCTCTGTGTGTTTCTTGAAGTTAATACATTTGTTCTGGCCTGATAGAAAATAACTGTGACCTATGTTGCTTAAATTGGGTTCAGTAGAACATGCAGGAGCTTCAGGGTGTGAGTTCCTGTTTCATACCAGTTCTCACACATGTGAGAACATCAGCCCCTTGCCCTGTCCACAGAGCACCAAATCGGCCACATTTCAGGGTATATGCTGAGGCCCTGAAGCATCTCTGAACTTCTGACCTTTCCAGTCTAGCAGCAGAAGGGAATGAAAAGAAAATATTTTATATTTATCTGTAATGATCCTTCCACCTCATTTTCAAATACTAAATATTAGCATTTTTAAATGACTGGTTATTTGAGTTTATTGAGTTTATTGCTGTCATTTTTTTCAGACAATCTTTTCTGCCTTATTCAAACTCAGCCTTGGGTTTCTTTTCCATGCCATGCTGCTGGGTGTGATTTCCACTGGTGGCTGCTGGGTGTATGAAGATGTTAACAGAACAAATCCCAGCACTGAAATGCCAGGCTCACTCTCTGCTCTAGAGATGTTGCTGCAGCCTTGGCAGACACAGTCCAGGGCCAAGTAACCAGGTTTAAATGATACAGGAACATTTTGAAAGGTTGGTTCAATGCCTGCTGACAGAGGGTCATGCAATCAGTGAATGGCAGGAGCTGCTCTTGGATGGGAAATAACAGGAGCATTTTTCTTGTTGCTATGGCTTTGCTACACACACTTGTGAGTGTTTGAGAGGGACAGAGCCTTGTCCTGCTCCTTCACACACTCCCTCCACCCAGTGATTTCCCTGTAAACCTGGAGCACGTGACAGTGCCTGATGTGGTTTTCAAAACATCATTTCAGCAGTGTTTTAACCCAGGCAGCAGGGTAGTCCTGAAAGGGGGAGGAAGAGGTTCACATCCCAGAGATAGACAAGGAGTTGGCTTCCTCTGATGCTGGGGAGGATCCAGCCTCCAGGAGTTTGGAGTCTCATGACCAGAGGCTGGTTTGCAACATTAAGCCCTGCTCCTTCCACTCTCCTTTCTCCCTGGTCCCTCCTCACTGTTCTTGCTCACTTTGGTGTCTCAGAAGGCTCTGGTGTTACCAGAACAGCTAAAATGCACGTTCCCCTGGCAGCTCACTTGCTTCCTTCTGCTTCAGGTCTATCCCCAGGCTAATCTTGGGGGTGCAGAGCTGGCAGAGGGGAGGGAGGCAGCAGAGGCAGGGAGGGGAGTGTCCGGCTGCAGAAGAGGACACACTGGGTTTCAGTCTGTAAGTTCACTCTTCAGAATTGCAGTTAGCTCGTTTTACTTAGTCCAGAACCAAATCTGGCAGAGCTGGCAGCTGCTGAGTGAGGTCTGGGACCTGGATTCATCTGAGTGCTTAGTGAAAGCATCCCAAAGAAGCCCTGTGTCCGTGGCTGTGCAGGGAGGGCACCAGGGTTTGGGAGGAAGTGGGATGATACGTTTGCATCACATGAGAATGATAAGGTACTTCCTAATCCATTAAAGAGGGTGTTAAACATCTCCATGAATAAATATCTCTAAATCAATTTGACAAGAGAACTCTCATTCAGGAGGCCTTTCTTTAGCTTGGGAAGATCTTTATTTCCTGCTGTTCATTGTTAAGACACTTTGGAGCACTAGAGAAGTTCTCCCCACACACCCTTGCACACAGAAGAGAAGGGAATGTTGCCTGTAGGCACAGTGTGGCATCATGACTGTAGCACCTTGGAACACAGATTTAATCCCTGCAGTAGAGACACCAGCACAGCCCTGTAGTGGGGACAAAGCTTCTGCTGCCAGAGGTGGGCTTGGGATGATCAGTTGAAATTCTGTCCTAAATGAGAGGCTTTGTGCAGGAGAAGCTGGGAGGCAGGTTGGGTTGTCATAACAGCCTCCTTGCTGGCAGAGGTGTTTCCATCCTTGGCCTTAATGGCTCATGAGATGCTGGAGGTCAGATGATCAAACCACTTAGGCTGGTT